ACAGTAGTTATACTGGTAAACTTTCCAATTCGGAGAATTTTGATCTGATATTATTCTTCTGGTAGTAGGAATTTTCTTCTTTTAAATAATACTGATGACAAATCATGTACAAATTATTACGATTTCTACAGATCACGTTGTTTGTTTACCGTAATTTGAAGCAGAACATACCTGCAAAGCGATCCAATACTAAATAGAAGTATAGAAATCACTACCTTGCCGAATTAAGGCTAGTCATGCTAGACCGCATTTACTCCGTTTTTTACTCACTGTTGCTCACAGCTTTTCGACATTTGCCACGAGGTTAACCTTTAACACACTTTACTGTGTTCTGATTGGCGCGCACTCTGACGTCTAATGCTGGCTAAGTTTTATTTTCCATTGGGTTTTCCATGTGACATTCGATAATTTTACAACCAACGGACGTTAATTCTCCTTTATGTTTATTATTTATCTTACTAAATCAAGACTACAAAATATTATTTGATGAACAATCTTTTCACATGTGTGTACTGCCATTGAGGACATCGTTTTTTGACATTTTAAATGAGGTAAAATAATTATAAATGAAAAATAAGCTAAGCCTAGGCTAATTAATTAAAAAAAATAATACAGCAATACAAACATGTTCCTGTCGTGGACAGCGAGTGGAAGTGGAGACTCCCATGAAGTCAAGTGTACGTTTTTCTTATTGAAAAACAGTTCCATACTTTAAATTAACGGTCTAAACTCGTGTTTGCCATTCACAAATTATCAAACAATACATTGTTTATCCCGTAAGATGCAGCAGTCTTTCTGCACATACAGTACAAATAAACAACATGCTTTTGCTTCGTAGGTTCGCTTCGCGTAGCCTTTCTTAGATTTGTTTATATCAGGCTACGAAGCCTGCGCGCAGGTTAGATTGTTTATTTCAGGCTACGATGTATCTACGAAGCCTGCGCGCAGGTAAAAGTGCAATATTTCATGACTGTACTGTATTACTAAACATAATACAGTACTTGTATAGTAAGGTAGAGTAGTCTTTCAAAGTTGTGGAGTAACAGAGTGTGCGTAAAAGTTTTTGGAAGAAGGAGAAAGCTATGACGTGTGTGGCTGAATCGTATATGCTTGAATCATGGTAGAAAAAAAAAATCAACAATTGTCGGGGGTGGGGGGAACACATATGTACGGTATTATATATTTAATAAAATAATATTTTATAAATTATATTTGTATAAAATTAAATTTTATCACTGAGAGAACAGGTAATAATGCCAAAATATTGTATTATACATGGAGGCTTCATGATCAAAAGTTCTTGCCAGGATTTGGTATGAATTGGTCCTTGGCGTGGCTGGGCTACTGGGCCGCGTCTTGGTGCCTCGAATCGTAAATATGCCGTAAAGTAAAAAGTTTGCGAAACGCTGCTCTAAATAATAAGAGTGGATTTGAAGGATGGAAAATGTAGGTTAATAAGGGTGGGTGGAGAGCCATAATTTAAAAAAAAAATTAATTTAATGCTCATTGTTTTCTGATACATCTATCAGTAAGGAATCCATGTATCTGTACTTTCATTTGTTAAAATCCAATACTTTTAAAGAAACTTAAACAAGCACTTTTTTGGAAGCAGAATCGTATATTAACTAATTTTTGGAAAACAAAAGTTATTTTAAAAATTCATGATTTTCAGCTTTAAAATGATAATAGAATCTATTATTTTGTAAAGTAACATGAATTTAATACAGTTTTCGAACAAATACATTCTGTCTAATAAGTTTGCATGTACCTTAGCTATTTTTAGGATTTTTTAAAATTTTACAAATAAAATGTTTTGTTTTTTTTTTCACATTTTACCATTGAAATACCAAGATATTAATTTTAGATCTTAATTCTATAAAATAAGCTCAAGTTTGATATCAAACTTTGGGTTGACAAGTATGAAAAATTACATAAAAATATCACTCTGTGCTATGAAATTTCCCATTTGTGTTTTTAATGCACGTTATTTTCTACTTCTATTGGTTTTAGATTGCTGTGCCACTTTCTTCTGTGCTTTCACAGATGAAAAAATGAAATTCCAAATAAATATTATTATTATTAAAGAAATAGTATTTTTTATTATTAAAGATAAAGATACACTCAACACAGTTTTCAGGTGACAGATGTCAAAAATGTTTAATTTTTTCTTTGCAAAGTAGCTAGCAAAATACGACTAAAAGAAGCCATTATAACATTTACAATACAAAGGAAACAGCAACCTCCATGGAAACAGTAGGAAAGAATTGGAGCAAGTTTTACAATTTTTGTACATTTGTGCCCACAGTACATTGTCACTATAATAATAATAATATAAAATTCATATTTAGTAGTTGCACAAAACAGCGGCACCTACAACTTGAATTTTTTAAAACATAAATATGATATTGCGCCATCGTTGGTACCGTATTTATAGTATTTTAGAATTGTTTTGTTCTTTTTTAAAGTGTCCCTTTTAAAATGTCCCCTTAAAATGTCCCCCTCTTAAAATTCTATCATAAGGTAAAATGTTCTCTCAAATTCAATTTGATTCAAAATTTATTTCAGACATCCATTGTCCTCAAATGTTAGCATTATTCTTTATTCAAATATTGTTATTCATTTTGTTTCAACTCTTTATTCAAAATTAATAAAAGTCTTAGCATTATGACGGAATTGCACTAAATAAAAAACAAAAATTCACTAGAAAAGCAAAAAAATGAAACATGGAAAGTTTAAAATTGAATAATTAAATTGATATGTTACTTTCTACTATACATTGAATAAACAGTTTTAAAAAATGTCTACGCTTCATAATTATACTTCCTCTTAATTTTCTGTATACAACATTTTACATTACACTGAGCAAAAATATAAATTATTGATTAAATTTGATTAAAACGTATTGATTGGCACTGCTAATACCATTACAAGCTATAGATTTCACTTCAAAGTGCATACCTCTGCCCACATCTTGAAGTCTCCTTTATAAAACTAAAACTTTATACCGAACTGTATCGCTGTAAAATTAATGCTAGTTAATATTTGTTTATTGTTGTAAGCTCACAAACACACGTCCATATGGCAGACAGTTAAAGAAGTAGTTTTCCGTTCATTGTGTCTTTGACCTTTGATCCAGACCCTTCAAAGTTTAGTTACTTCCAGATCTTTGGTCATGGGATATTGTGGCTGAGTTTGACAAGTTTCTGATGAAAACTTCCAGGTTATTATATATAAGTAAATTAGTTTTTTTGTCGATTATGACTTTGACAATTGACCCTAACCCTTCAAACATTAAACACGTCCATGTTTTTCGTCATGAATCATTGTAACCAAGTTTGACGAGTTTCTGATAAAGACTGTTGGCTGTAGGCTGATTATATATAAAAATTAGTTTTTCGTCGATTGTGACTACGTTTTGACCCTGACCCTTCAAAATTTAATCACCTCTGGATCTTTGATCATGGATCGTTGTGACTAAGTTTGACGAGTTTTAGATAAAAACTGTGGTCTGTAGGCTGTTCGCAGACAAGCACACAAATATAGAGGGACGTACAACAAATAGGACTCTGGCTAGGAAAATATTTAGATTTACTACTGATGGTTGGAATTGTTCTAAAGCACTCCCCAAACTCAAAAAACAATAATTTCCAACAACGTTTAAATCTTGCCACTGTCTTTAAAGTTGTATTGTACGTTAATTAATTCTATTTCACTATGAACATTGTTGAAATGATAATCATGATTTCCATTAATGCGGGTATTAATTTAGCAGGTGAAGAATTTGGGTCTATTTCTTGTCTTCCCGCTTTTTCTTCATCTTCCTCGTATATCATGCACATATAGTCACCTACATCCGTGATGTCTGAAGGAAGCCATGTGACTTTTCCAGAGACGTTGTAGTAGCCAGTCACTATTTGGCCATTTGGATTCTTCCAAATGACCTCTGGGAGCGGACTACCAGAAATCTGGCAGTAGACACCATCATTGGCATCTGAACTTGATGGCATCAGTTCAGCAACGGATCCATTGCCACACTGTATTGATGCATTTTGAACACAAGTTATTTCCAGTTGTTCTAGGGAGTCGTTCAGAATATTGTAATCACAGTCGCATGCCAGGAGATTTTCTCTGAGGTCAAGTTTAGAAGAAATGCTGTTATTTGCAACATCAGGTTGACCAAGTAATGGAGCATCTTTTAAGAAGAATGCTGGAAATGTTTGAAGTAAATTTCCGGAGAAATCCAAGTATTGAAGCTTTGGAAACTGAGGTTCGGGTGAACTGGTAGGGTATAGAACATCAGAAATTTTATTGTACGATAGACGTAGTACCTTAAGTTTTGATGGAGTAGGGAAGTCCAGAAATGACCAGGAGACCAGTCTATTTTTTGATAGCTCTATTGTTTCTAGATATGTAAGATTTGTAAATGTTCCATCATCAACCTTCTCAATTGAGTTTTCATTCAGAAAGAAAGATCTGAGATTCCTCAAAGACCCAAAAGCCTTCCCGATAAAAGGTAATTTGTTCTGAGATACATCAATGGTGTGAAGCATTTTCAAAGGTTCCAGCGATCCTTGACTGAATACCTGAATAAAGTTACCATTTAGATTCAAAAATTGGAGTGATGCAAGTCCAGTAAATATATTGGCACCAATGATAGCAAGGTAGTTATCTCCCAGATATAGTTCCTGCAGATTTCCAAGGTCACTGAACGCTCCAGTTTCAATAGAACTGATGCCGTTGCTGGTTAAGCGGAGAGACTGAAGTCGATGGCAACCTGCAAACGTGTTCCTCTGGAGAGCATTCAGTGTATTTCTATCCAGATTTAGTGTCCTGAGCATCTTGTTGTCACTGAATGTTCTTTCTTCTAAATCATCAATTTGATTGTCAGAAAGATCGAGACTTCTCAACGAGTTTAGACCTTTGAGTGTTTGGTTGTTTATATAGAGAATGAAATTATCTCGCAAACTCAATTCTCTTAGATTGCTCAGCCCCCGAAATGCTTTAGAACTCACAGTATTCACTATGCCTCCAGCAATCTCTAAGTTAACGAGAGGTCCATAGTTTTCAAAAGCATATGGTGGTATTTCTCCAAACCTTGGTTCAATAATAGTAACATTGTTCTGGCCAGGACAAGGGGGCTCTTTGTTAATGCAAACCGGGGAGTCGCAAGTACATCTTGCAAGATTTTCACAAGAGGGCGCCTTATCACTCTCTTGACAAAACTGTGAAGCTGTCTTCATTACCAGCAAAGAGATGAAGATCAAGATCGTTTTATGTTGGTTCATTGTAGATATTCTGAAAGAGATTAATAATATATATAAGTCAATATGAATGTTTCTTTAACGTGATAATGTTTACAGTAATAGGCAGTGTAATATACTTGTAGTAGAAAAGTTGGCAGTTTGCGTGGTGTAAATATGGCAATAAATATTTGAAGTGTAATTATAGTGAAATAAGATTACAAAAATTGAAATAAAATAAAATAAAATTAGTGTAAGTTAGTGTAAAAATATAGTGTAATATAGTTTTGGTGCTATAGTATTTTGTGTAATTTATATTTATATTTATGTTTTTTGATATTTTATGTATAGGTATGTTATATTGTTTTATTGTATAAGCATAGGAAAGCAAATTTCATGTATATTAATATGTGACAATAAATCTATCTTGAATCTTAAATCTTGAATATAGTTCATTTATGTTTGAAAGCCTTTGACCTTCTAATAGGTCATAAAGCCATTTTTGTGTATACTTCCCCCTGTGGGTTAGACACTTTCTTGCAACTGAGTAGTACCTGAACAATTTCATTCAAAAGCACTCGGGTGCAACCAGGTAACATTATCATTTACGATTAGTAACAACAAAGTGCTACATGTGGTGACGAAAAAAAAGTGACATTAATACAGCAGCTTTGTTTCAGCCTTCAGGACCTCTGGCGTTGATATCTTTCGGGGGGAAAATTAGTTAGAATAATTGTATAACTGAAAGTGCCATATTTGGGCATGACTTTAAAATTGTTCACCTCCGCCCCATCATCATAATATCGAATACTGTAGATTGCAGTTGTAACGTATATCATTCTTTTATAGGCCTGTTAACATTTGAGTTTTAAACTATAAAATAATCAGATAATATTCCCCTGAAAGGTGATTGAAGGAACTCAATCGAAACGTCAAGACATTCTCAACAAACAACAGTACTTTTTAGAAGTATCAACATGGTGTACAGCAAGCATTAATATTATAAAATAATGAATTAACAACATATATAAATTTAATTGGCTATCCTTTTGGCTACGTACCTCACCTAACAGTGTTACTGCACCTTCATGTCAGTTGATATCAAAGTGGAGTGAATCAATTATATACGCTTGCACAAAACTAACTCGAGCGCACACTTGCACAATATAGATTTATTCTGTACATCCCATTCTCTCATGTATTATTCAAATAATGCTTTCAACTAAATTGAATATTAAATTTTCATCTTTTAATTTGTACAGTATCAACCAAACATAAAGATTACAACCAATGAATTATGTGTACCCAGACATGTCAAGTCTTGCGTATCTCGCGGGAGCTTCACACATTTAATTTTGACCTCACAGCCTCACGCGAGGCCTACATATTCTCACGCGAGGCCTACATATTCTCACGCATTCCAGAATTTCTTCAAATTATGTATAGTGATCGTCACAGTGTTTGACGCCGCCTCAGTAGAAACTGAAGAAAACTATGTGGAATATCAAAGTGGCATTTGTATCAAATGTATTCACTGTAAAGATGTTATATCGTTGCTTGACGGCATTTTCCTTATGGTTGGACGTGACCTCGCGCATAATTTTCAAAAAATGCCAAATCTCAAGCAAATCCAGAAGAAATCTCAAGCAAGCCAGTGTGAACTATATATTGCTGTGTCATCACATGTATCTATATTCATGGTAAAATTTTCAATATATTCTGCAATAACTACTACTTACGTAATTAAATTAAATATATATTTACTCGTATTTTTGACAATAAAATAAGAATAAAAATACAGTCAGTCACTGTAAAGTAGCATTGATTTTTCTAGGCTTCGATCTAGAGTTATTTGAGCAGGAAATTGGTGCAGCCATAGAAATTTCTAAGTGTCTTTCTGACCCTAATGGGAGAATCTATGCATTTGAAATTATATCAAACGTTACCTGCATTTACAGCTCTTGAAATGATAATTTTCTTTCTCCACTAGCATCAAATTAATTAGCTTTTTCAGATGATGAGATTTTTTACGTGTCATGCGAAAACGTCATTTCTCACACGCATTAATCTTAACATATCTTGTCTAGAGTGTCTCCCCTAACAGAAGCAGCTATGCATTTGAACTTATGCCAAACATTACCTGCATTTACAGCTCTTGAAATAATAATTTTCTTTCTCCACTAGCATCAAATCAATTAGCTGGTTCAGATGATAAGATTTTTTACGTGTCATGCAAAATTGTCATTCTCAAGCATTCCGTTGTATACATTAATCTTAACATAAGAATATTTGCTCTGTAGATTTTGGATCAATCGATAGACATTAAAGGGGAATTTTAATGGGCAGAATGAATATATGTTCACAGATGTGAATTGAATATTGAATAAGGATATAGTAAGGTTATGATATGGCCGACTGATGGGCAGAATCATAGGATTTTTTACAGTAGAGCATTTGATGACCTGAAGATGACCTTTATTCTATTTCAAACATATGTGTGATTATGTCAGCTTCGAGGGTAGTGGTGCATAAACCCCCAAATTAAATAGGCCCTACTGTCAATGCCGCAGCCAAGATTTTTAAAGAATGCGGGACAGTATCAAGGTGGACCCAATTTAGCGTAAATTCAAATAATGTGGACCCATTTTTTTTTTTAACTTTACCCATTTTAGGCTAAATATGAGAAATCTGGACCCATTTTTCAAAATGTGGATCCCATTCCTTCTGGACCCATTAGAAAAATTGTGTGGGACTGTCCCAATAGCTGGCTATGGCATTGCCTACTGTATAATGTTTTGAAAGAAATATAGACTGGTAGATAGTACAATATTAAGTTCAAATTATGTATTTATGATGGGTTGCAGTGCAGTACAGTATATGTCTCTTATACACTCTTTAAATTTGGGGGGGGGGGGCCAGCTGATAGGGGCACGAGGGTGGACCTTAGCAATTGAGAGGATGTCTAGCCTCGCAAAATGATAGGTGATTTTTAACTACTTGAGCGGGATTATTTTTGCTTCAGACATTTTCAGTAGGGGGTGGGGAAATCGGGATGCACGCTTTTGTGCAGGGAAACATGCACCCTTCCGCGCACCCCTAGATGCATCACTGATGGGTTGCTATTCAATTGGTTATACTTTTCTCCCTATTTCATAGTCGAACAACCCAAATTTCATTGATTTAAATATTGTTATTCATAGCAATGCAAACGAAATTGACACACAACACTAAAGTGATAGTAATAATATACATCGACAAGTTGTGTGATACCTTGTGTCATAAAATTAGATATTGTTTTTAGAAAAGTGACTATACATTGATTTATACTTACTCTATTATTAAAAGAATATCAATTTATTTTACAGTTTTGTAACACAGTATATGGCAAGACAAGCCAAACCATTCGCTCATCGCATATCCTGTATCGCAGATAATGGCCAAAACATGAGATGGAATGTCAGAATTTTTGAAATCTATAATTTTTATTACACTGAACTAACCTTTATATTTCTAAACATCATTTCCTCATTTTCAATGTTGAAACAACGATTTTTAACGATTTGGTGATGGTTTCTGCCTGAGAAATGCCCAAAATCATACACTTTGAAGGTTCTCAAATATAGCTAAGTGTCTTCTATAACTTCATAACGAAGTGTCGGATTTCAATGATTCTTTTACCATTTTATAGCTCTCATTTTACTGTTCAACCATGTATTAATAACTGAAAATTGATTTTTGCAACGAGCGACTGGTTTTGCTTGTCTTTGCCACATATACTGATGAATACTTTAAAAAAATGAAATGAATGTATTAATGGATGATCTGGTTTTTGAAGAGGAAATATGAAGGTCCTGGTACCCATGACAGCCTCAGTGCAATTCTTACACTTTTTTAATAGTGTAGTTTATTTATTTTTTTTTATGTGCATGTGCTGTTATGCAAATGAACCAAATGGCTTAACGTCTCATCCGGACAATGATTTAATTATCTAGAGCAAAAGACACTGCAAGTACAACATTTTTGCAGGTCTTTAACTCTGCCCGTCTCGCATCATATGTGCTTAGCTAACTCGTTCTCTATGAAAATCTAAGATTGTCATATCTGTGGGTTATTCCATTTTACCATCGTAATTAATAGCATCTACTCTAATTAGATTTTTGTTTAACAACTATGTTTGCTCAGTCTCAATAATATTGCTTGTTTTAGACGTGTATGAATACTTGATTATTACTGTACTTTGGAATGTAAAATGTACAATGAGAGAAGCTGTTATGAAAGACCACCTCTAAATAAGGACCACCTTTCTGTAGTCCCAAATGATTGCCTATCTTATTATACTCTTATATGTTTTCTAATTAAAGACAAAAGCTGCTGAAGACCATGAAAACCCTGGTCCTAAAAGTGGTCTTTAATTGGAGGGAGACCCGTATTATTATATGCCTACATAACAAATTATTTATCTCTGAGCTTTTATACAGTACTGTATGTCAGGTTTAATTGTTAGCATAAATTTTAAAGGTTCATTTGTGACACAGAATAATGTTGTTATGAAATTCTTTAACTTTGTTGCAAAAATAAAAATGAAATTGAAAGACAAATACAAATTGCACTAAATAACATATTTACACATAAATGAAAGTAAATAAGACATAAATTATACATACATATTTGATAATTGAGATTGTGAATATGAGAGAATAAGAGTTAATGCTTTATAAAAACAATATAAACAAGTTTATTATCAATTATGCAATTATAATTTAATGAAAATATTTACAATAACATTAATAATTAATAGTAATTCGATATGCCAATTATGCTTATTTCTTTTTTGATGGAAATAGGATACTTCAAAGTTCTACCAAAATCTGAAATTTTGTTGGATATGCTTGGCTGTTTATGAAACAGGTTTTGTTTACCAAGAAGCCAAAAATATTTCTCCAATGTTTTTCAATGTTTAATTCATAATTTTACTACCAAAATCATGGATTTTATCCCTGTTGGTCAAGTTAAAATGTTACCAACAAAAAATCAAATCAAGAAACGAATATAAATTTGGAAATGTCAGGCGTGTTTATGAATACCCATAATAATATACAACTTATGCTTGAGTTGAAGAAGGAGTTCAGAAGTGCAGGATGAAAATATTGCAGTAGTGAGAACAAAATCAACAAAATGACTTACTGTTTAATTAGTCCCTCGTGCATCTGCTATATTCGATTCAATCTCTATTCAAGAATGAATTCCCTTGCAAGTTGCAATGCTCTTTAAATAGTTGCTCTATGCTATTCTAGTCTTGGAAAGTCCCCTGAAAATTTGAACTCCCGTCTATCACATGCTACGTTCTGTTGTTAACTAATGATATCCTGAAACCAATTCAGGTACTGTATAAACACTGGATCAAGGATATTGATTGTTATTGGTAAAAATCAAAATACTGGAATGTGAAATCAACCTTGATTGAACTAATTCTGTTAATACTCCCTTCCCCAGGCAAACTATTATTATAAACGTATCAAAGCAGGCCTGTAATGGTAATAGTAAAGTACATATTGAAGCATATATAAATAATGATTCATGATGTTTTTCTTTAATCTTGCTGAAGAAGGCCATAGGAGTGGCAGACATATCTGAGTTGTTTATACAGTAGATCAGTGTTCTTAAAGTCTACTATTGATGAAATTGTTTCATATTTTTCTATATATATATATTTATATATATGTATATATATATATATATATATATATTTAAATGTATATATTTATCTATATATATATATGTATATACTATTCGTAATTGACACCTGGGGAGAAAAAGCCTTTGTCTGTATTTCCCCTTAACGTCGTTAAAATTTCCCCTTAGCGGCAGTATTTTTTATTTTTCATGTATATATATAC